AGTAAAACTATATTTTCATTCAATTTTCCACCTTCACAATGATACAAGTGTAAATTAGTTTCATACAATGTATAATTTATATTTTTTAATATAACTGTGTATAACTTAATATTATGTAACATATACCAATCATCTGATGATACAAGTGTATTCTTTTTTTTTTACTAACTTACAGGAGGGCATGGTTTAATTATTCAGCACCTCAGTTATCTGATAACATCAAAATACAACTTATTGTCATAGAATATTCTAAATCCCAGTTTATTACTAATATTAATTAGGTTTCAAACGATAACATAAAACAATGATTGGGAACTAAAAATAAATTCATTTAGAAAAATAATTTTGCTTGATAATACATTGGACATAGTTCACACTGGTCAAAGGAAAGAATAAAATCCAGAACTTTCCACAATTAAACTGTCACTTTTAAGGATCTAATTTACTGATTTCAACAAAACACAATCTAAACTAACAATAATTAACAAGTAATTAATTATATTTGATAAAATATGCAGTCAGAGCTATAAAAAAACATTCTAGCAAGAACAGTAACACCTGAACTATTGGAGAGAAAAAAAAACTTATTCAAGACTATTAACTAAGCTATTAAAATAAAATTTAAATGAACAAAGCATTAATGCACTATTCAGTATTCACAGTCCCATATGTATACTTCAACCTCTTCCACCGTTAGTTTAATAATAAGTGGTGAAACCTTGCATCTTTTTACAAACTACTGTACTTTGGCAACAGCAAAATATGTTTTTGTTGAATTTCACACACAGTTAGTCAAGAGTAATCTGCACTAGCCACTCATAATTTTGAAATGACTGACTAGAATCAACTCTTGCACAACTCTTTACCAACAAGTAGTGGAACTGACCATCACATTCTAATATCCCCACAGTTGAAAGGGCTAGCATGTTCAGTGAAAGGATGTTAACCCACAAACTGTAGAATGCACATAGTGCCCTAACCACAAGCCATGGCTAAAAAGTCCTCTAGCATGTAACCAAATAAAATAATAATTATTAAACATTGAGTTACTGAGTTACATTTAAAATTTAATTTAACTACTTTATTATCAATGTATATGAATAAATGTACTATCAAAATTGTAGTTAATACATCAATTTTTAATATTATATAAGTTTTAAGTTATTAATTTTATAAAGAAATATATAAAAATTACGCTATCTGCTTAGTATAAAAATCATGTCATTTGTTCACTAGATTTTCCCTCTTCTCTAATTTATTTAAAATAGGCTTAGTACATGTAATGGTATTTTAGGCTTAGATATATTTCAACTTACTGGTAAATCATAAAACAGGATAAATACATTGTTTTATTAAATAAATACAATCTAAAAACTAGTTTATTGTCTCTTGGTGTTTTAAGAATTAACTTGTTTACTTGAACTTAGATCCATTAGTTTAAATTTAGCTTATAGATATAAGTAGGTTATAAT